AATCCCTATCAGACATTTTAATTGCTCTTTCAAAGCCAGTGATCATCAGTCTGGGGCATGCTGTTAGACAATATATACAGCTCAGTCTCCCTGACTGTCTGAGCCCATTCCCCGAATGGGAGAGAGTAGGCGGAACAGCTGTGGGGAAGCTGCTCTAGGACTTTATATCTTTATTCACACCCCACTCTTCCTTAAAAGGAGCCAAAGTATTTCATTACATGAAAACTCTTGTTCTTATTATTTAGCTGTTGAGAAATGGTACAAATAAATAACTCACTAGCTATCAATGGGGATATTTCCTCCCTGACTGCCTATGCCATCCAGTAAGACACAAGACTCAGTCAGTGACACATTAGCTCATGCGCTGACCTTGTTCTTGCTCTCAGGAAACCAGGATGCCAAAATCAGCCAGGGTAGCATGCATATGCATACAATATCTTATTCAGTTTGCCAGACTATGGCTAGATGGTTAGTATCTGAGACTGAAACTCATACAAGAATGTCTATGTTTTGCTTGATAACTAATTGCAAAGAAGATGCTATATTCCAGAGAAAGTATAAATACAGTAAAAGGAGAGGAAATATAATAGCTATGTGTACTGGAGTGGGGAACAGTTTCAGCCTGAAGTCTAAAATCCAGTCTTGGGGGATACAATTTAGCTGTGGGTGGGCCATAGGCTCTGCCAAAATGTGGGCAGGGTGAAAATGTGATTACTACCCATTTTAAGCAAGGAGGACAAGACTTCTGCATATCTGCTCAAAAGTGAGTAGGTCTGAATCATTCAGTAGTGGTTTCAAATAGCATCCAGGGTGAAGTCTCTTCATGCATACACAGAAATAAACACGAGAAACATGTCTACGTACTCAAGAACAAACAGGGCAAACCTGTGAGAAGTGAGCAGAACTGAATTAGCAGGTTTCTTGCCATGCTTTATCCAACCCTCTCTTGCAGGGAACTCTCTTCCCATGATATACAATGACAAAGGTACCCCCTTTCCACTTTGAATTCTAGAATTGTTCCATGGCAATATGCATTATAATTCCATGGTGTGCTGAACTTGAGTGGACTTGTGCCAAACACTTTGGAAGAAAAATGGGGCCACCAACAGACAAAGATTTTAGCACACTTGGGGAAACACTGGAACATGAAAAGTACATCATATTTAAAGTTTGACCCTCCAAAGGGAGCAGAGTAAGATCCAGAACTGGTTACCGATATAGCATGTGCCCCTGTGTCTCCATCTTACTTAAATGATTGCATTCCATAACCTCTCAGCTATAGGTTTCCACACATGTAAGTTAATTTTTAAAAATCCTCAAAGTCAGGTGGACAACATTGGCCCAGCCTCACAACGAGGGAGGACATACGCTACCCAGCCAATAATCCCGACATGAGGCACCATGGCCACTGCCCCTGCATTCTTTACAACTCTCGGCCTCCACTCAGTTCCACCCTCTTTGTGGGGCCTTTTACAAAGAATCCAAAGGACGGGGCTGGGGTGGGAGGGGGAACCTTCTTTATGCAATGTTTTGCCGTATGCCCCATTTGTTTATTTCCATGTACAACTTGTCCTATCTAGAAGGGCATAAGCATGTAATAGAGTTTATACACAAGTAACTTCACCATGCAGCATTGTTTATATCCTCATTATTGAGGCTATCATCTAATAGAAGAAAGTCTGAAAAGGAGTCAGGTCCAGACTCAGTCAGGGAATAGGCTTAGACTGTCGGCAGCTTTCTCGCTGTATTCCGTCTGACTCCCTTGTTGGGAATTGTATGTGTGTGTGTGCTTATGTCTGTGCATACACACACTAGATCTCCTTTCATAATTGCACAAACTGCTAAATTTTTATTTATGAGGGTGTGCGATATATTATGAGGGGCACACTGTCCAACAACAGTGAACAACTGTTTAAGAGCTTGAAGAAGCAAAGTTGTGGGCCAGTGGCAATGAGCCAGATCAAGTCATCAGCTACCATGGTAACGTCTACCTCTAAAACTGTGCCTTTTCGGGGGTTTGGCACAGGCTGATACCCTGTCACATCCTTTTATATCACATACAAAACAGAGGAAACCCATCTCCTTGGTACTTCCTTTCACTCTTGCTCTTACAGTCTTGCATCTGGATGGGAAGCAGCTTCCTGGACTGCATTGGGAAATGTCTGCAAGTGCCTCCCCTCTTTGCCCTTCGGACTGCAGCCCCTAATATTTCAAATCAAGCTTGACATGTCATAGGAATCAACCTGGCACTCCCGAAACACAGCAAAGAAGAGTGAACATCGCTCTTCGGAATCACTACACTCCTTGTGTAGTTGTGCGCCTTTGCAAGTGAGAGAATGCCACCCACTGGCTGAGATTGCTGGACTCCTTCTACGCTATTAGAGTACATAAAGCGTACAATGGGAGGGGGAGGGGAATGGTTTGCCTCTTCCCATTGTAGTTTCAGATCATGTGAGAGTCTGGCTTGCATCCTTACCTGTGGGGTTCCCATGATCAGGGAAGGAAAAGAAGCCCCGCCAGATTGTGGCATGGTTTGGAAGCCAGCCCCGTCACCCACCCACCTCGCTGGGTTCAGATGACACAAGGAGGCGATGCAGCACACCTGAGGCAGGGAAAAGTAGCCACCGCGACTGCTTCTCCTTCCCCCATCATGCAAAGCCCTTACTGTGTTCCACTAATGATTCATCGTCCTTAGCTCTGAGATGGACTAGTTTGGAAAACTTTATTGAAATACTTTAATTTTATCTGACCCAACAAAGACTCCTTTCCTCTTTCAGCAGCAAAATGCCCAAAGCTCTGGGCTGCCCCTCCTGGCTAATTGTTGGGGGTACTCTGGCCCTTCTATTGCCATAGGGGCTCAGATGTTTTTGAGCTTCAACTGTTGCATTGGTTTATGTGTTTTTAGTCTCTCTCTCAAAAATGCCATTAAAATAATTCGTAAGTGAATGGATAATAAATGAAAAGGGAAAATTGTAAGTGCTCTCCAACAGTTTTGCAGCCCTTTAAACTGAGAACTGAGGACACCCTCCACCATCCCCTGTGCACAGAAAAAAATTATAAGTGTGCAATTTTGGGGAAAAGTTAGTACTGAATTTAAATATTTGAATTGCAGTTATGTGAACTCATGTTCCACGCTTAAGGTTAAGAAGACAGTCCTCTCCCTAGCCTCTGTGATACAGAAATCAGGTTTTGGAAGTCAGGAGATGATGAGGGGAGGGGAAGGAGAAGAAGAGGGAATCATGAAGTGACTCACGATTATCTGCCACCCCCATAAGCTCAAAAATCCAAATAACTGGCCAAAGACAAAAGCTTAGCTGAAGTCATTGCTTTGCGTTTACCGGCCCCTCTCCCGTTGCAAGCTGTCATCTCTGCTCATGTTCCTACCTTCCGCGAGCGAGCGAGCGAGCGAGCGAGCACAGACACACACTAATAGTATAAGTGGCTTTTTTTCTGACACAAAAGCTTTGCCAAAAGCCTTTTTAGCATCCCTACAAGATGTGATAATAAGCCTCTGCAGGTGCCCAGCCCCTATGATTTTGAAAATGCTTTGTTAGTCGCTGCCAGTACAAGGGAAAAAACATGTTATGCAAGTCATACTTAATTTTGCACTTATGGAAGCAATGAAGAAATACATAATTAAAAACTTGTTTTCTACACAATGGGATATTTAAAGATGTGGCATGAAATTTTAAGGAGGCGGTATAGAAAGACATTTTCTTTTTCAGTAATAATTTTACATGTACATTTTATGATCAATATATTTGTGACTATTTTTTTAAAAAACACATAGCAAAGCTTCCGTGTTTCCTTGCTCTTAGTGATTAGGAAGGAAGGACAGATGTGACTATAGATTATCTCTTCACCTAAGAAGACAAAATGTTAGATTCATATTCAGCACAGCAATGTAAAGATCTAGTTGTGGAACAATCCACATGAAAATACAGAGACACATATGATCACACACATATATAAATGCTATGGTAGTAAAAACTGATTGACACTGATGTCAAAAGGGTGCCCCTACACCCTGTACCTGTATGTACATTTGTATATCCCAGTGCATGGTACCAATTTGAATTATGTCACTCATTTGATTTTCAGGCTATTTCAGTTTAGATTATATAGGCATGGAGATGCAAGAGAACTCCCTTCTAGCGACAAGACAGCTTTATATGTCAACTTTATTATGCTTGCACCAGCTTCTGAATGCCTGACTAGCTGGCAAACAGGAAACCACAGCTGCTTCAAAAGTGCATACCAGTGGTCCACACTAGCTGAACACTAGCTTTGATAAGCAAGATTCTGTTTGCCAAAGCCATCATGGGAGCTGAAATGTTGCTTACCATGAGCCACCAGTCCATGGTGCAACTATTTGCACTCGAAAGGGTTTATTCCACTGCCAGACTCATAGTAGTCCTGATCAGAGGTTGGCAGCTGAGCTTTCATTCTGCACCTTGAATTTCACACAGTTTGCAACTGATGATTGGTAGAAATGCTCCTTGTTCTTTTACTTTCAATCGGTAATTAGGTTTTCAGTCCCCAAATACAGAGTAAACTCCAATTATGTTATTCCATGGATGGAATGACTCTTGTTAGTAAATTCAGCAGGGCATGGACCCCCACACCCATGCACCTTCAGAGGGTTGGCGCACTTTCAGGAGCTGGAGTCCACAGAAGTGAAGGCAAGGAGAAAAAAACCTCTCGTGATGTGTAACATTACATTCCAGCCCTGGCCTGTTCTTCCTCCCTAAAACTCAAAAGAGCTCCACTTGCCCAATGTAAATGCCATCTTTGCTTTTGAAAAAGAAATGTTAGAAGAATAGGTTACCAGACAGTATTTGCCTGTTCTGATAACAGTTCCAGTACATTCAATATACCACACCTTAATCGTCCTTTTTAACTGCACTCCAATTCAATATTTACATTACTTTTTATTCTTCAAAAAAGCAGAAAAGCACACTGTAGATCAGCCAATTAATAAAATATATCTGGGTACTTACAGCCGCGACAGTGCCTGGTTATTCTGGAACAGGAGCTCCGGCAAACTGTGAAGTTGGTTCCGATTCAAACGTCTAGAGAAATTGAGGGTGAGTAGAAGGTATCATAAACATCTGGAAACAGGGAGGATTTCTGAACCCAAGTTCATTCTGACAGAGATTTAATGTAGAGGCTGTTACAACTCCACTCTTTCCCAGTCTGTTGCAGGATGTTGCCTTGAACTGGGGTAGTGCTCCCACAGAGCAGGGCAAGACACCCACATCAGGCAGCAGAGTGGGAGAAGCAGCAAGTTACTTTTCTCCAGCCTCACTCCCATCCATCGCTGCTCTTCCCTGCAGGCACTTTCGGAGAGATCTGCCAGCACTCTCCCACCATGGCTATTTGCCATATAAAGGGCAACAGCTGCCAGCCCGATTTCCCTCGTCATGAACCACCCATGACTTTTTCTGCGACTCCATCAGCGATACGGGGAAGACTGCAGCTGAAAGACGTGATTGTGGGCCTCTCCCAAGATCCTGCAAGAGCAACTCAGTTGCTTCTCCAGTCTCAAGGCTCTGCATAAAGCCAACAGAGAGGGGGCAAGAGCAAGGGGACATGATACGGCAGGGGATGAAGACCAGGGCGATGGCAGGAAGGAACGTCATGACAGCATATGTTCTCTCCCTCCTCAGCTGGTGAGGGAGGTGTGCTGGGACTGGTCTTGAAACTCTAAGGATGCTCATGAGTCGCTTCGCCTCTGGCCCAAGCTACTGAATATACCAGCTTCTAAGAAAACCCCTGAAACTGAAAATAGCCAAGCAAAAATCAGGGGTCATCTTATCCACCAGGTGAAATATTTCCCTTGTCATAGTTTGTCTTCCGTATTGCATCACTGAGCCGAGTGCAACTAAGCAAGAGAGATGTGAAAATCAGGTCAGAGTTAACAATATGGATCCTACAAAATGGCTATAGTGAAACACACTGTATAAATTAGGGTAGATCTTCAACTTAGGCTAAGTGCTGAAATTCTGACTATTTATACTTACTGCCACAAAATGCTGATCTTATGGAGGAGAATTGTAATGAAATAATATTATAATGAGACACACACAACAGACTCCTTGTCCCACATTTTAGCCAAAACCTAACCGTTGCAGCCTTATCAAAAGAGTAACTAACAGGGCTGCTAGATGTCTTTAACACTACCTGTGACTGGCTGGCATCCCTGTGAAAGGACCCTTCCAGACACAGCTTCGATGGTGCGATCACATAGCCTCATCCACAGAGTTCTATGGGGCATCCAAACAGCACCATCTTTGATTGCCACTCTCCCACATCTTACTACAACTTTGCCTTTCTTCCTATTACAAAAATTGAATTAAGGACATAAAGGCAGACTTGGCACACCATGCTTTTTGTCTGGAAGCAAGAGGAGCCCTGCACCATATGTCCTACGACCCCAGTAGCTGGTCTCAAATAGCACCAGGGGAAAGCACTTCTGCAGCTCGTTGTTCTTCTTTCCCCAGAACATCCCATTAGACTATCCCATTCAATCCTTGACTAACACTTTTCATCCCTCTGCTCCTTTAGTCCTTTACAAATTAGACTCACCTCCCATCATTCCCAGCCAGCCCATAGTGTCAGTAGCTACAGAACAAATGTCTAAAGTACATTGAAAACTACTATTTAAGTATCCATGGAACCTAATGGAGGATGATAGCACTGCCACTTTAATCGTGTATCTCTATTACAAGCCTTGTTTGCTTGGCTTTGGCAACTAGAGTGGTAACAAGTTCTGTGTAATGCTGGATGTGTGAATCAGGAGTGCCCTGGGATTGCCCCACCTTGCTGGCAGTGGCAATGGCTCAACAAGGGAAAGGGACGAGAGGACAAGAACAGTGATTTCTTTCAGCTGGTGTTTTACAGCTGCTGTGCAGAAAAAAGAAAGACAAAGTTCAGGTTGGTTTGTGCACTGCCCCTGATCGAATGCATACTGCTGAGAATTATTTTGGATCTAAAAAGAACAGTGAACAGATTGGGAAGCATCTGGGTACAAATGCCAGCCAGGTTGTTCAGGGCTGGGTGTAAAAACATGCAGCGCTCACACCATCTGCTTGGCTCTGCAGTGGGGAGGGGGAGTGGGGAGAAATGGTTACTGAAAGAGGCAGGCAGCCTCTGACCATGGGGTGACCTTCTCCCCATCCCTGCCCAGTTCCAACTCCAAGCCAGTGAGGCATCAGGAAAGCCACCAGGTGTGCTACTCCGTGCCTGTGGGAAGGCAGGGCAGGGGAAAGGAAGGCAGGGCAGGCTTCTGCTGAGCAACCCCAGCCTTCTTCTCTCTGTGCTTTCCCCACCCCACTGTCTGTGCTACAGTCGGTCCTTGAAACACTCACAGTCGTTCCAACTCTCTCATGTCGTCGAACACCCCTCGCTCCACCAGGCCGATCTGGTTTTCCATCAGCTGCCTATAAAAGTGATAAGAAGATCATAACTCAGGAGCAGGAGGAGAAAGCGGGAGGAAGAGGAAGGACATTGAGGGCACGGCATCCAGGTAGCTGGAGTTGCTGTAGGTTGGGGTGCCTGTGCGTGGCACGATGCCTCTCCCACATGGCAGGGACCCCCTGATTCAGGGGCTAGATCCACTCTCAGTTAAAGGGAAGGCACATGCAGCAAGGTCTCAGGGCCCCAGGTGGCAGCACGCCTGAGCGATAACGCAGAAGGGGGCAGGAAGGGGATCCTGTCACTGCTGAGTCAGCAAGGAGGAAGCTACTCACAGGACTCGCAGCTGCTTCAGTCCAGCAAAGTCATTTTTGTTGATGCGAGTGATGTTGTTCCCATTCAGCTCCCTGTGAAGAGAAGGAGAGAAAAACTAGAAGCAAGAAAGTAGGCAAGGGTGCTTGGTGCCAGGTGAAGTCTCAGAGCCATACTCCCCAGATGGAATGGCTCTACCACCAAGAGAGGGAAGGTGAGGACCTCGGAGAGCAAAAGCTGGGAGAAGCAAGAGGACAGCCGCCACGGCTATTTTTCTTGCATTCTGCCTGCCATTTCCGTTTTTTGGAGAATGGAACTGCGCAACCTGCCCTGTGTCCCTTGTACTAGCTAGCTGCTTTCAGGTACAGAGGAAGCGCACCCTGCACTGCTGCCAGTACAAAAGTAAAATCCAGGTGCCCGTGGAATGGCACCCTCTTGTCCTTCAACTCAGGCAGCAAAATGTCTTCAGCCAGCCTTGCTCCCCAGCAGAAGGAGTCTAGTCCCATGTTCACTATTTACATACAGATAAAACAGAAATTAATCTCTGCCCACCATGATGATTTTACCACAGTTAATACATAGTTAACATCATATATCACAGCAGCTCAGATCCAGAGTAGACATTTTAGTTAGCTCCTGACATTTGCTGCGTATTTTAAAATGAGCAACATCTAACATTTCTGCCATTTCTGCCACACCTTTCCCTCCTCTGCTTTCTTTGCCCAGACAAGGGCTTATCTCCCATCAGTTACCTACTTTTGCCCCTTCAAAGCTATGTAGTTGGTTTTGAAAAGGGTGCCCATGTGAAGGTCTGCTGTCTGCCTTTCAAGTCTCTGTATTGTCCAATTCACGTTACATTCCAAATTTTGCTCAATAATTCTATTGTTGAAAAACTCTTGCTACCCTTTCTGCTTTTTTCTACAAACCCCCAAAGCAACATCTTAAGCAGACCGTGGGAGGACTTGCAAGGTTCATTCTGGGAAATGTGGCTGGGGCCTGCATAGGCCAGAAGGGGACATGAGATGCCTGAGTCTGTTCTGAGATAATACTGTATTTTATTAAATATTTTTTTAAAAAAAGAGATAGTGCTGTGTACACGCAACTTTAGGTGCGACATGCACAGTGTGGCAGTAACAGAAATAAGGCCTGGATGGCCCAAGTGGGAACAGAATATTAGCCTTTCATCTGATACAGCAGAGTTTTTCTTGTCTTATGGTCTGTACATTTAGGACTGTTCAAAGATCTATATCCTGGGTTCCAAATTTGAGTGGAGGAGATTCTGATACTCTTGGAAAATCCCCTGTTCCCGCTAATGATCTGCCAGTACTGTAGGAAGTGTCTTCATGTAGAACCCTGAGCTGAACTCTTTCCAGCTGCTACAAACGGTGCTTTGAATGTCTTGAACCAAACATAAACGAAAGCAGCTTTTCCTTTCGTTCTCTGCTTCAACTAGCCACTCACAGAGAGGAGACCATTTTCCTACAACCCCACCTTGGCCTGACAGTTCTACAAGTCACGTGCATTTGGCCTGCAGGGCTATGCCTATGGGTGTTGCTGCTTCCATGAAACAGGCAAGCATGAGCCTCATTGTCCAGCTGTAACAGCAGCTAATGCTTCATGAATGCAGAGACAACCACTATGGATTCCTAATTGCATCCATTTGATCACAAAGGCTGGTACAGACATACACCCTTTCATTACAGGACTGACTGGTGCGGGTGGGAAGGGGAAGTAAGACACCAGGAGGGACCACGCTGAATGGGCAGCTGAACTAACCTTGCTCCCTTCCTTTCATGGCAGACTGAAACTTACACTTATCCCTGCTGCAATTATGTAGGTAACAATGACAGACATGGGTGGCATGTTAAGAATCCGGGATAGCTACAGGTTAATCACTCACCATCTTTAAAGATTTGGACCTTGTTTTTCTCCACAAAAACACAGGATAAGAAGCAATAGCTTGCAATTTTGCAACCACATTCCCCTTCAGTTCCTTAAGCAGATAGTAGCTAGAAGAATAATGTCTATATTCTGAGAGGAACTATTTCCTTTCTTTCAAGAGTTCTGAGGAAAACACAAGTTCCCCTGCTGCATTTCTTCTACCACAGTATGCAGTGACAAGGAAAACCTGGCTTGTTTCAAAGCTTTTATTGGGGAAGAACATCCAGTTTTAAAAGGAATACAGGCACCCTAGCTAGGGATGAGAATACAGGGTTGAGGGCAGATAACCAAAGGGAAGAACAGCCCACTCTTTTGAAGGACATGTTTTTTTTAAAAAAATCAAGCTAGACCCCTCGATGAGATGAATAAGGCAGGAGAAGCTGCTGCCAAGCTAATTTTGTCCTCATGCACATAGGATCATAATAGCAGTGATACTCTACTTGTCAGCACATTGTGAAGGGAAATTTAAATTGTGCCAAAAAGCTCAGACCCTTTTAAGATATGCAATCAAAAAGGACCTCTAAGGAAACATCACAGTGGTAGGGGAAGGGGAAGGGGAAGGGGAAAGGTAAGATTCTTGTGCTGCTGTTAAAACTGTTTAGGGCTTGGGCTTAATAGCAGTGTGCTCAATCGTTTCAGGAAGGAGGAATAGCAGTTAGAAACTAGGGTCATGTGTTCAAGGGCTTTCTGGGGTAAATCAGCCACTCCAAACAAAATTACTTCATCACAAAATTACCATTTATATTGCTTGTGGTGTCTAGAGGCCATCTAGGAGATGGGCCTATTGTTTTGGGTGCCACATCTGAGCTCAGCTGCAGGTGTGCACACAGAAACATAGTCATGACTGCACACAAATGCCAGAGAAGATCAGGATCCCCAGTGCAGGTATTTGCATTTTTAGCTATAGAAACACCATCTTTTGGTTCTGAGGTTTCTGACTTGGGATAGCCAGTGCCAGAAGAGGGTCCAGGACCTCCTGGTAGCTGGATCTTTTTGTTTTTTCCCTTAGCATACCCCACTGCTACCTCAGTTTCCCAAGGCAATATAGCTATTCAATTACTCATGCCAGGCCTCATATCTTTGAAAAGTACCAGTCAACCCAATAACTATGCCAAGTGAATGCAGCGTGACTCCTGAGATACAAGGGGAGAGGCATCCCATCTTATAGCTCAGAGGAAAGATATTTTGCTCGCTTCTCTCTCTGCATGCTTAAATGTTAAAATGAACAGCTTTGACAATAGAGTGCTTTTGCCAAAGATTAATTAGATGTTTTCTGGCTCTGTGAAGAGCTCAAGACACATGCTCCTATCTTGGAAGAGTAATCATGCAAAAACACAAAGCCTGTACTTAAGCAAAGTCCCCTAACACTGTAAATCATGAGAGGGGCATCGAATCACCTACCAGATTTCAGAGGATCCCCGTTTCAGTATCATTATTCCAGACACAGAAAAGGGGGTAAAGATTGAAGGTGTGTGACATATTCCTCCCTATCACCAAAGAGGAGGCCAGGATGAGTGATAAATTAGGTTTCCTCCCTATTCCAAGAATCCAGAACAAGTTGCACTGCATGCTCGTTTTCCATTACAAATAGAGAGTCCCCAGTGCACAATATACCTGTGAACCAGGCATTTGTGTTCGGATCCGCTCCACTAGGAATGATAAACCTCTCCTTTCTTTCTACCTACACAGGACACAGTTCACCCCTGAGCTGGCCAAGGTCTCCACGGCACACTCACAAATCCTTGTCTATCATCTGGGCCCGTGGCTGCACTAGATCTACTGCCTCCGTAGCTTCTTTGTTCAGATAAATTATGGCCTTGGGATCCAAGAAGGGAATTAGCAGCAGGTGAAAGCTTATTTGCAATGATGCCACAACAACAGAGCTATTTAACTCAGTGGTGGTTCTTCCATTTCAGGTCCACGTCAATCCCTCAGATATTAATTATAGTCTGCCAAAGCCAGACTCTACCAGAGCCACCACTTGAGTGCTAACTCTCTGCCTTGACCAAAAAGAAGAGGGGGGCAAAGGGAAAACCTTCTTTCAATCGTCGAAAAATGAGATTCAGAAAGCCCAGGGAAACTTTGGCTATGAAACAGCTAACCTGGAAGAAAGAGCAAAGTCCTGCTGTCTGCCTTGACAGCTTACTCCTCCATCACTCATTGACAGCATGCAAATAATGGGAAAGGTCGCATGTTGTGCAAATTCCCTCTATCAAAAAGCTACAGTGGACCGGTTATTGTGGGGGCCACAGTCCCCAATACAAAAGCCCAAATGCAACCAGGGTGACCACGGCTTGTAGCCCCCTCCTTCCCCCTCAGTCCACCAGCTGGCTTCCCAGGGGACTGTGCAACTCACACGCTCTCTTCACCACCATCAGGAGCCATTTTGACTTGCTACAGCTCCCTCCCTTGCACCCCTCTGTTTTTGGGGGAGATCTCTTTTGTAATCTCCCTCTTGACAGCCCCCAGCAGCCTCACTGAAGCAGGGAAGCCAACCGCAGACAGAGTCCATTATATTAAATAAACGAGAGGGCTGCCAGTGTTTCTTTAAAAAGATACATGAAGCAAGGTGCTGGGGGAAATGTGTTCTTGCAGAATAAAACCGTGTCCCTGAGCATGTGGCCATGCATTAAAATTGTTTGCCCTAAAAGACAGTGATTGGTTATCACATCCTAGAACTAGTTTGTACAGGAACTGATGACCAAAACAGAGCAATGCTAACAAGAGGCATGCATGCAGAATTAATACAAAGCTGTGAAAACCTGCCCTCTGCTAGGAGAGAATAGCTGGTTTAGGGGATGCACTTGCCTAGCACTTAAGAATCCCCAGTTGCAATGCCCCAAACCTCTCTATACATGCAAAGTTAAGTGCCTTAGCTAGCTGCAAGTGACAAAGGGCCAGCAAATGCTGACTTGCAAGCAATGGGTATTAGCACACAACACTCCATTAGATTTTATGAGGTTATTAAACAATTCTAGTTCTACCACAAAGCACTGAACCTTCAAAAACTGCACCAAGTGGGGAATGTCATAATGCAAGAATGGTAGACTTTTTAGTCTTTACAGCTTTTATTACTGTATTTTCCCACTATGACTGCAGTGCTCTCTGCATAAACAGACTGAATCAATAACCCTGCTAATTGAACAAATGGGGA